TCACCACCCTTCACATAAAACAAAGACACCCTCTTAGCTTATTCTCTCGGTCGGGGTATGGATGGTCGGTCCCCCGGACTGCGGGGGGGGGGGGGTCCGTCCCTTTCCTTTGAGGGTCCCTAGTCATATAGTTTCTGTGGTGGAGGTGGGTTATCCCTATTTCACTGCTAAAGTTGTCTATAATAAAAGGGTGAGACTTTTTAGCCTCTCGGTGGTTTCTGAGTAGGGTCATCCTGAAGGGGATGTAAGTTATAATATCTCGTTGTCAGAATTCTACACCTGATATCCAAAAGATCAAAGCTGGAATCGAACCAGCGTAAAAGAATTTGTAATCCTGAATAAAAACGCTAACTCTGTATTTGTGCTTTAAATGCGTTCCACCGGATAGCGCAGGGTCGGATGGATACAACCATGGTGATCTAAAAACTTGCCTTAGTGTTGGATTTTATGTTAGATTCGATAAGCGACCATAGAGAGCAGGCTTAGTCTAATTGCTTCGTCAGGTCCACCTCTAAACAACAATTTTTATAGAATACCGGGGCTGGCAAACTTTGATTGCTGTGTGTTTTCTGGGGCAGCACAGAGATCGGTAGTGGGATTGACACCTAGAAAGTACATGCTAGCTGTAAACAAGACAGGGTCAAACTGACAAGCTTCCGTGTCCATTTCAAGTGAAGGCTCTACCACCAATCCTCTCCCAGGTGCAGTAGATAATGTAGGAAACGGGAGTAGCCTTGAGTTTACCTTCAACTCGGATATTGCACTTCTTAGAGAATTCCGGGTGTTGTTTGATTAAGTCAATAGCTGACTAAAAATCGGGTTCAGGGTTTGAGTGGGTAGCCATGCAGTCAAGTACAACGGCTATGGTAGATTTAGAATGAAAAAAAACGCTTACTCTGTATTTGTGCTTTAAATCCGTTCCACCGGATAGCGCAGGGCCGGATGGATACAACCATGGCGATCTGAAAACTTGCCTTAGTGTTGGCATTTATGTTAGATTCAATACGCGACCATGGAGAGCAGGCTTGGCCTAATTGCTTGGTAAGGTCCACCTCTAAACAACAATTTGTATAGAATACCGGGACTGACAAATTTCTGATTAAGTGGTCATGAAGTGAACCAGAACATAGGTAAGTGCTAACAGTTCATTCATCGGTGTCGCATACATTTGTTGTGCCTTATTAAGAGTCAAGAGAACATTAGATAATGTCTGCGCCCGTCAATCAATTGAAACAATGCTCCGCCAAAGCCATAAACACTTGCGTCCGTTTCCAATTCAAGTTGTACACCATCAACTGGGAATTTCAAACGGACTGCTGACACGATGACCTTCATCATCTGATCCCACGCCAATTGATGTTCTTGTTTCCAACGATCCCCAATCAATTCCTTTGGCTTAAGCTTAGAGAACGTCCGAAGTGGGGCCACTTTATGTGTAAAGTTGGGTAAGTACTCGTGTAAGAAATTCGCCAGCCCTAACACGAATGTGATATACCTTCGACATTTAATCAATTAGTTGTTGCTGTTTCTCATGATCCACGTCAATCCCTTTAGCAGATATCTTTTTCCCCAGTACCATCACCTCTTGCACAGCAAAGTGATACTTCTTCTGATTAAGTTTGAAGTTATTCTCCGTCAGTCGTCGAATAACCTCTTGGACAGTAGCAATATGTTCCTCGTAGTCGTCAGACGCAATTATAAGATCATCGACATAGCATTGCACGTCCAGTCCCGCCATCAAATTACCGATTATACGCTGAAATTGTAATCTGAGTGTCGTCAACCCAATGGAAGCCGACGTAAGTGAGTATTGCTGATTATCCCATGTGAACGAGAGCATGTGCTGAGAATATGTGTATACCGGTAAGCGATGGTAGGCTGCCGGTAAATATAACGTTGCAAAGTATCGCTTGGTTCTCAAGTAACTGATGATCTCGTAGACATTCGGGAGCGTAAACTGATCTTCAGGAATAGGATCGTTGATCTGCCGTAAGTCCAAGCACACAAACTTTGATAAGTTCTCCTGACGGTGCAAGGATGTTACCACCAACAAAGGAAGGTTGACAATCGACGCCGATATTCGACGATTGGTGACCAACTCATGTTCCCATTTATGAACTTGCTTCGTGACATGTGGTTTATACTTGTCAGATACAAAGTCCTGTCTCTGCCGACATAGGCCCAGCAATTTCTCTCGAGGCATAGGAAGTGATACTTCACTACCCGGTAACGTACATCGAGGCTCACCCAAAATTGTCTCATCAGCATCCAGACACTGTCGTAAACGTTGTCGAATATCGTTTGGCTGGGACAAATCTGGGGCCATTCAAAGATGATTGGTTCCAGTAGTTCATCCACAATATAGCGATAAATTCCCGGGAATGCGGGTTCTCTAAGTAACGATCGTGATGGACAGGGAAGTGTTTGCGATATACAATCGTATCAATCAGTACATTTGCATTATCCTGGCGATTATCCTTCATATCTTTTGGGGAGCGTAAACGACGATGTCGTTGCTGCTTATCACAAAATATACTCGCTGCTACTTGACCTTGATTGAGCTGTTACCGTGGAGATTCCATTACTCTTGCGAAATGCATCAAAGGAACGCTTTGCCAACGACGACAAATTCTAGCGAGTGTCCATTGCAAAGTGCAAATCCGCTGGTTCCAAAAAAAACAATTCTACCAGGAGATTTCACCACAGTCGACAATTCCTGAGTACGACTCGGATCACAAAAGTCGCTCGACATCTCCTCAGATGTCGGAATTTCTTGTGCTTGATTTGAGCGTGTTTCAACATCCGCTCTCTGCGAGTATCATATATATTGTCGTAAGGTGCCACTTGAGGTATCGACGTCGTGCGGCCTATTTTGTGTTTCACTGGGGTAATTTGCTTCATCTCGTCCGCCGCTGTTAGGTATCTGGCCATGAGTAGGTTTCGTTCATACCTGCGTTATGTATTGAGGTGCCCACTGCAATTGCGATGTTGGCGGTACCTGTTGCTCAGAATAATCATCATCCGATGCCGTCTGGACCGTGTCAATGGCAGTAGATGAGTCAATATTCGCCATTGAAAATTCACGAAGTTGGCGGAAATGTCTACAAATGAGATAAACAATTTCCGTGGCCTCTTGGACATGCGTCAGCGTTCTCAAGTGTTCATCCCAATCCAAAATCCACTTTGGATACTGTTTGGCTTTAACCAACTTAGAAAACGAGTGATAGACCTCCGAAATCAAACGGAACAATGCACGTCACGTGTATTTCTGTCTTTGCTTCATCCTCAGGTGTCGGATGATATAAAATGCTGTCTCCACTTTAGCACCGATTTAAGGCAATTGATGATGAACTCCGAGCAGCCTTTTTTATAGCCGGTCAAAAGCTTGCTTGCCTACCTCAGTTACCGGTGTAATACTAGGTCTTTTCGTTATCGTATACAAAAAAGGTAATCTAAACTAAATTGATTCTTAGTTAATTTAGTCTATAAAGAACGTAGTGTGATAAATACAGTAGTTCTGTCACTTAAAAAATGAAGTCAAAACCGAGTAACTTTTAGTAAAGAGCTTTACGTCTAAATAAGTAAACTCAGTCAGAAGTGCCGTTATGAACGGCGCGTCTGCTGTATTTATTAATCTCGTTCCTATGTGGGATGAGATTTTAGGTAAAGTATGAGTACTTAATCTGCAGTCCATAGTTGAATAGCGGTACAGGCGTATTTATTATTGACTAGTTAATGTATCGTTAAAGCGTAAATGTATTGTTTACATCTGTTTCGTGTCCAAGGTATTCTATTGTAGAAATACGGCCTCCGGCCAGTCTAAAATATCAAGATCAAATGATACATCACATTGGTTTTTATTTGTATTTATAAAAAAATACAATTTCTTTTTCCAATATTTCCAAAGTGTTCTAAATTCACTTTGATGGCTCCAATAGCCTGAGTATTTGATATGGCTCATTTGCTTGGACCTATTTGAGACGATAGTAGATGTAGGATATTATAAACTAAATTTTATAATCTCTGAACTACTACTTACAGGGTTTGGTCTTCCCGCCAATCTCCAAAATCCAATGTCTTTTTCTTTTTTAACTTTTCTTCAGATGGAACTTTATTATATAATAGCTAATTTATTAACTTGACTTACGTTCTTATGTCTATCTACAAATTAGACAAGTGGTCATGAACACTTAGTACTTCTAGTGAAAATTATTCAATAAAGAAGAGCTAGAGGTACGTCCTGTGTGATCGACGATATTAAGGCACTTACCAAGAGGCAGTCCCGATCATTGTTACACAAGCTACCACTGCTAAATCCTAACTGACTTAAATTGTATCTTAGTTTATATAACATAGTTTAAAACATAGAAATATCCTTCGAAGTTTACATATTTTTCAATTATTTAGTGGCTACCGTAGTGTACTGCTTCTAGACTGATAACAATTGCTTACTATCCAGCGACAGGACTGTAAGTATTCTATACTACCTCATAGTGGCTAATACTACCCTAAAGGTAGCTACACGCCAGTTACTATACCTAGACTTTATTAATTTTCCTATTCTTGAGCTATTACTATGGCTAAAGGAAATTCTAAAGGCAAGGGAGCCGCCAGCTCTAAGCCTGCTCAGCCTGTTGAGGTTCCTGAGGTTACTGGAAACGCTGGTCCGTCAGATACTGAGCCTGCCGTTGAAGCTGTAGAGGAAGCCGTTTCTGAGCTTAGTTCTGAAGAAAACTCTGAGGATGACTCGTCGGACCCTAAAGCCTTGGAAGTGGAGGTCTCAACTGCCGCGGAAAGGCTCGCCAGCGTCCGTGTGTCTCCTAGTAGTGCAGCTCGGGGCCTCAGCTCGCCATCTGACATCTGACCTCGAAAAGTCAGATAGTGGAAAGGCTATATCTCCTGAACAAGTGGAGGAATCGTCTCGAGATCGACGGTTTATTACTACTAAAAGTCAGCCCAATCCACCTATTAACAAAGATGGTGGCGTTCCATTTCGTGAAATTTCATTGAATGCTTCGCCACTGAATGCCTCGCCACTGAATGTTGGGACGGAAGACGCAAATGTTGGAGACGTCATAACTCGACAACGAGTGGTTGGATCTTCTCAATCTCGACGCCATTTGAACCGCAAAGCCGAGCTTTTAAAGGAGCTAGCCGCTGCCGCAGCTTCTGACCCTTCGATCATATCACACGTGGCCGATATCCTATACCGAAAGAAAAAATAGCTGGGACCCACTGGTTTACCAGCCAGCAGGGTTACCGCTGAGCCAGTTACCGCTAGTGAAGTGGGTAGAACCTCAAGATTTAATCTCTTTAGCTCGGAAGCTACAATCGACCATCCTCTCGACAAATATGATCGTATGGAAATCGATGAGGCTTACCACCCTCATAACATCGATCCTCAATTACCATCTAACCCTGGTAATCACGACTTTGGTAATTGTTATACCAGTACCTCACTAGAGAGTATTCACTCTAGCTCTGAAGTCGAGGAAGTGAGAACCCGACAACATCGTCTCATGCTATTACGTTCTGGTATGCAAGTCCTTGAGGATCGTCTATTGAATGACTCTGACCTTGACGATAAGAAAGCGGAAAACTTTCGCTATCTAATTGATAACAAGAGAAAGAAGATAGACTCCGTCTTGGCACTAGCAGCCCGTAGCACTGAGCGTGAGCCTCGTGAACGCTTCGAACCAAGCTTTATAAAACAGCTAGGTAACGTGAAGGCTCAGGTCGATTTCTCTACTATTGAGAATACAGTGGAGACACTGAAGGCCTTTGACCAACTTAAGGAGTCTGCCAGCCTTAATGATAAGCAGATGATGAATGCCTTTATTCATTTCTGTGAGTCAGAGGATTGGAAAATTATCTTGAAGGCCCATGAGCCCAACTGGAAAGCCCTACCCTGGCGCCAGTTGCGTGAGAATATACTTAACGCCTTCTTTGAAGATGCACGTGATCGTGAACTTCTAGAGTCTTGCAAGTCCTTTGCGAACGATAATACTATTCGAGGTGCTCTAGCTCATATGACACATATGAACACTTGGATGGGAGGTCGTACCTATACTGGCGAATATTTATTAATTTGTCAGATGATGGAGACTCTGGGGGTTAACCTTTTTAAGAAGGTCAATGATGATTTTATCACCTATGGTGATTTGCGATCTATGCCTTGGTCTGTCTTTGAGAAGATAGTTCAAAAGCATACCAACCCATCTACTAGAGTACTTAGTACCTCGAGCTTTACCCAGCCCGCTAAGCGTACCGCGATAGAGAATAACACTGCGCGTAATACTAAGAAACCTCGCACTATTGCTGGAGGTGGTAAAGGCTCTACTTTTACTGAACCAAAGGGTGAAACGAAGAAGAAAGCACCTTGCAAGAAGTGTGGTTACAACCTCACTAAACGTGATGGCAAGTGGAATGGTAAACACGACTCTGTTAAGTGTGCACCAGGCAAGCCAAACTTTAGACACTATATGAAAGAGTGTACTACTTGCAAGGGTGCTAACGGTTGGCACAAAGATGATTGCAAGGACATACCGGACGTCCAAGTTAAGCACTGACAGCTCCATATGTGTGCACTAGAGCAAGCTACAGACATGACTATCCATAACGAAACAACTAATTTAATCTTGGGAAATGGCAAGGTTACCACTTGCGAAGAAGCCATTGGCTATGCACACATAATGTTGTCAAATAGAAGAGAAGTAAAGACTCACCTAATCGTTACGGGCATGTCTCAGAAATACGATTTAATTATAGGTATGACTGATCTTCTCAGTTTAGGTATAACTCTCACTGGTCTGCCAAATGGGTTAGACCCAAATAAAGATCAGTCAGATGATAACATGTTAAAGATACTTAAACCTCCGGAAGGTGAAGCAAAGGATTATGGGCTTAATTATACAAAACAGGAAGATTGCAATAACTGACTGGTGTATGTTTAAGTTCTCTAACGGGTACGTTAAGCTTGACTTAACAAACGTCGACTTCTCTAAGTAAAAGTGTCCTTCACATAACTACGTGAGCTGGAGACACAAAGACGTTGTTAAGACCCAAATTGAAGATTGGTTAAAGCAAGGTCTAATTGAAATCAATTATGATACAACCCCAGTTAACTTAGCTCTCTTAGTGGTCGATCCATATAAATCTGATGGAACGTTTAGTAAAACAAGAGTAGTACTAGACCTGTCGCCAATCAACAAACTAATTCCTCAACATAGTTTTCCCTTACCAAAGATAAGCGAGATAATACGCAAAATGGAAGGTGCGACTATCTTTTCCAAGGTAGACTTAAAAGCTGCATTCCATCAATTACAAATATATGAGCCGCATAGGAAATACTTTTCCTTTACTTGGCAAGGTTAGAAGTACCAGTTTAAAGGTGCACCTGAAGACTTACACATGTTACCTTCGTTCTTCCAACAAGTTATGATGGAACTATTTGCGGACCTGTCGGATAACGTATCAGTATATTTAGATGATATAGTTATCTTTACAAAGACAGCACATGAACATGCTAAACTCGTTAAGGAAGTCTTAAAGCAACTAAACCATGTCAAACTTAAGATTAACGAGGACAAGTGTTCTTTTGCTATAGATGCTATACACTTACTTGGTTACAAGGTACCTGCAGCAGGGGTAGAAATTGATCCTGGCAAGAAACAATTTCTGTTGGATTTATCAATACCGATTACTGGAAGAGATGTGAACTCTGTCTGTTGGTTTGTTAACTTCTTCTCGGATTCGGTACCTCATCTTTCTCATTACTTAAAGCCTTTCAGTCACATACGGCTGCACAAAGGACCTTTGGGAAAGCTCTGGACTAAAGAATGTGATGATGCATTTAAGCTAGTCAAAAGTAAAGTAATGGACGCACCCATTATGCAATATCTTGTGGGTGGCGTCCCATTCCAAGTAGCAACCGATGCTTCAGATCGAGCGGTAGGTGGAGTGCTTTACCAACCGATAAATGGTAAACCGTGCTACATACAATTATTTAGCAACTTTCCGTTTATCTCGCGTGTTCTTATGTAAACGCCTATTCCATTTCTTATTAAAAATATG